TTCTTAATAGTTAAGGGTTCTGTTAGCACCATGCCTTTATCAAGGTGTCTATTCATATGAGATGAGCAAAGAGAATATTTATTACAGACGTCATTTGTTGAAAATTGCAATGAAGTACAGTTTCCAAAAATCTATTTAATAGATGAGGGGGGTGGGGGATTTGGTTGACCTGAGTAAATTCTTATCTTAAATATTTAATGTTAAGTTCATCAAGATAGGTAGATAAATTTGGTTTATTCAATAAACTTCACATAAGAATGCATCTTTGCACGCAAAGCTGAATTATGATGGTAGTTGAAATATAGTTTCCAAACCTATTTAATAGATGCAGGTGGGAGGTGGAATTGGTTGATCTGAGTAAATTTTTATCTTAAAAAATATTTAATGTTAAGCGCATCAAAATAGGTAGATAATTGGTTTATTCAATAAAATTCACATACGAATGCATCTTTGCAGCGACGGAATTTGAATTGCGACGGAATTTACAATTAGTTAAATATATCAAAAAGAACAATAACATGCAAAAGATCACAGGAATGGACAAACATCACATTTTAGATAAATAAACATTTAATTTAAAAAACATTAATTTTTTTTATAAAATTATTTTACATCAATATTATACACAAAATAAAAAAAATAATTAATTATATACATCAAGATTATAACAAAATATCGTAGTATAAAAAAGACATGCAAAATCTTTGTATATTTGAGTGTGGAGTATTTTGCGCTATATATGTCTTAACACTGATAAAAACATTCTGTCTTGGAAAGATGTTTTTGCCCAACCTGATGTACTGTATTGTCATACTACTGTACTGTACATGTTGACTGATTGTGTCCCTTTGTGGGTATTTGAAGATGTACTGAAAATATGCAATGATATATGATGGGCAAATACGCCATTCCTGTTTTCCTGATACTAAACATCTTAATAAACACTTTTGTTATTTTTTTAAATCTTTTATGGGTATTTGTTTTTAGATTTGGAGAACAAAATATCTAAAAACAGGTGCGTTGTAAGAAAAGATTATAAAAGAAAAAATATCAAATTAAGACAAAATACAAAAAATAGAAGTAAACTTGTAATCAGTTTGAAAATTTTAGTATTTTTCAGCTGAAGTCAACCTCTAGTACAGGTCATTGAACTTGCTAATTGCTTCAAGAAGACAGCATTATAATCAATACACAAATCTGCCCCATTTTTTGGTAAAAATCAATCATCAATGTCATGATGCCAAATTACATCCCTGGATTTACTTGAAATACACTGAAGAAAATTTTGTTTTTAGTACGGAACCCTTTGTTCATAGTGTGGAATTTCCCTCAGGAACCCCATTACTGATCGTTGCTCCGTGATTAGACAACTCCTTAACTTCCGTCTGCAGTTTCTGTAATTTGGACTCTTCCATTATTTATGAGAGACTATTTTTCCAGTGTTATTTGAGAACACATTGAGTAGTCACTCAAACAAGAGCCGTGTTACATCATAATGCAGCGTTGTATCCTCCGATGAATTACTCAGCATCTAGGTTATTATCATCCCGATTCCTAGGTTCTATAAAAAAATATTTGCAACAACTCGAGTGGGCTGTCTATGGGAAATCAATAATGCAAGTCTGTTGTAGGAGTTATTCAAAGCTGACAGAGGCCATTTGCAGGCCTGATAATGGAGCAGAAAAATGTTGAGATGTTTACCTGCAATCTGCAAGATTCTCCTGTGGAAGTATTTGGACTTGATAGGGTCAGGTTGTCGTGGATAGGCCTAGGCTCCTTATCAACAGACGGAATGTATTACCGAGATGGAAAAGTTTATCATTGCGGAGAGATTGATTGGGAAGAAATTCAGGTATAAATGTTGTTAACGTTTTTGCTTTGCTGTACTGACATTGTCATGCATGGCTGCACTTTCGCTGTCATATTGCATGGGAACTAAGAACAAGATCAAAGGAAATTTGTAAGAAATGCTTAACTCATGGTTTATAGTAAAAAAATTACAATATTTATTTACTACCTTTAAAAAAATAATCCAATATGATTTTGAATAAGTTCTCGCATAAATTAGGGGAGGAAAAATAATACTAAAGAAATAATTCTGTAAAACACTTTTAAAAGTTAAGGCCTGTTTAGACGATCAAATGTTATTTGACAAAACATGGGACATGCCTAAATATGGCTATGATGACATCACGTGACCATATTTGGGCATACAGCAGTTGCGGACAAAGCAGTTTACACACCTGTCTGCTTGCCAACAGCCCCAGAATACGTCCCCACTTGGCTGCCCTAGTGTATATCCACATTTGGCAGAATCTGCACTTTTTCTTGGTATACCCGGAGACTTAGTTAACAATAGATGGTAAATTTGTGACTCACAATATTCAATCTAGCCTTGTATCACAACGAAGCAATGTCAGCCGTAGACAATAATAGTGATTTCCTACGTGAATGTGTATGTAAAGGACACAATGTTAATTAGAATAAATCATAATTGAATGACGGATCAAATGAATTAGTGTATGAAACTCATGAAAAGCTTTAGAAGTTAAATATGAATTGTAGATTACTTCTAAATTCAACCACGCACGGCTCAAATGAATTACAGTAACATGTGAAACTACTGCTGCAGCAGTGTAGAGTGCTTTCTGTTTAAGTCTATTTAATCATAATTATCCTTTAATGTTATGGTCAAAGGTCTTAATAATTTTAAATACTTTTTTATGATGTCAAAGGAAAGTACATTCAAGATTGATTAAGTAAAATAACAAAACATGCGAAATTAAGACAATAAGAATATAACAGTTTTATTAATCTCTGATTTAACTAAATTTTTTGTGATTAACGAGAATAATATCAAATAGAGAAATAACAGATTAATTACACAAGATATATAGTAATTCATTGTATCTGATACACTTTCAGATAAAGTTTACATTTTAGTGTTTTTTTTTTATGAAGTTATTTCTCAGTAGTATATTTGATAGTCCCTGAGATATTCATTATTCAAGATGGCGCTTTGAAATCTGATGCATGTTGATTGAAAACCTCTGCTCTATGACACAACCAGGCTTGTACTGGCCGCCTTATCATTATCAAGCATCTTGAATTGGATTTAGAAGACTGAATGCTTAAAAGATAAACATCTTTAAGCTCTTCAGTATCCTGTACATTAAAAACAGTACATTTGTCAAAAACAATTGTTAGTCATATGAAATCGTCCTGTAAGAGTTAGGGGGAGGGTGTGCATTTTCAAATAAATTTTGTATTTTAGGGGGGAGAAGTTTATCCTTATTTACAATCCTCCCACTTGGTGGATTGCATCGTCATCAGCTGAGAGATTTAGCCAATTTGGGTCTTTAAATTACTCCAAGCACAAATTCTACATTCACCCTGTTTTCCTCCTATGTAAATTGTAACAGACCAGTTCACTATTAAATTATCAACCTTTACAGAGATGATTGGCCCGAGATTGAAGAACTAGAAACATTGAATGTTGACTCATTTTGGGATGCATTTCTAGGCCACAAGGTTGAATTGAATCAATTAATGAAAAGTAGGTTAAAATATGCAGATGCAGGGCTACAACTAGCATTTAATTGATTCAGATACATCACAAAAAGTACAATAACACCTTTTTTTTTTGGAAATTTAAAAAAAATAAAATGTCTGTTAAGTAATGACTTTTGAAGTTAGTTCAGTTCATTGCATCCTCCATTAACAGCATGGCCCATGTTAGTTGAATGTAATAAATTAAATTGTACGTTGAAATTTGTAGGAATGTCCTGTTTTTCCTGCTAGTGGAAGGGAAAGGATTTTCTATTAGATGAGAAAGGTTGATGACTTCATGGTTTTAAAGGTAGATCATTAGCTTGAAGAAATTTTTCTTTTATTTAAAATTTAGTTTATTGCAAAACAAGATAAGCCTCATTAAGTACAGTATGTTCTTGTTTTCTTTACAGTAATGTAGTTGGCAAATTCAAGACATCTTTAATACATACCTTCCTTTCTTTGTCTATTTCTCTTTTCCTTCTGTTTCCTCTTTCTCTTTTTCTAATTTTGTCAAATTCTTTCTCTGTTGCCATTTCTTATTTCAGTTTCTACATCATCTTATTTCTCTTTCATCCTTTAGGTTTCTTTGGATTGTTTTCATTTTAATATAATTTTTGTGCATTTATTGATTATATTTTCCCTACAAATATTATTTGTTTGAGATGATTTTAATACTTGTGGTATTGGTTATGAAAGTTTTAATTACCAGTTAATTAGTAAATTGAGACGGGATCATGGTGTGAATGCAATGGCAGTTATTTTCACGACCTCTGACATTCATGAACAAATGTAACCTTGCTTTGGAGTGATTATATCTAATCTGACAGTTCTCCGATGACAACTCTTGACCTAGATTTACTCCAGTTGTTCTGGTTTGCTAGTGTTGTGGCATAACTTCTGATGTGTTGCGGAGGGGATGTGGGGGCGGGGATCTAATCTGACAGTTCTCCGATGACAACTCTTGTCCTAGTAGATTTACTCCAGTTGTTCTGGTTTGCTAGTGCTGTGGCATATCTTGTGAGGTGTGGGAGAGGGAGATGCATACAACCCACGAAAAATAGAGTGGAGTTGAATGACTTAGTGGTTAAGGTGCTTGCCTTTTAATGCCAGGGTCTTAGGTTCAATATCTGACATTTTCTTACAAAACTATAAACAACTCCACTCCCTAAGTCTTATAAAATGACTTCGCTGATAAAAGCATCAAATTATTTTGATGTATTAAAGAGGGCCCCTGAATATCAGCTGACCTACACTGGAAGGGTCACACTTTATAAATATAGTTAAAAAAAACCATGCACCCCAGGGATTTCTCTCCTTTAGGTGTTCCCTTCCCCATTATATAGTTTCCTCATCCCTTTTGCTTAAGCAGCCCTATTTACTGACATACATTCATCTAAAGTCAACTTCAAAGTTCAATTGATGATGAAATTATTATTAGCACTCCCTATTCACATCTATTGATTTTTATTTATGTAAATATATTAGAATAATAACAAGTGTATGCTCAGCTGAGGGGGTACAGTACATGCACTGTATGTACTTGCTCATTATATTCTATTTATTAAATTATCCAATATGATTTTGAATAAGTTCTCACATAATTATTAGAAGAAAAATAATACTAAAGAAATAATGCTGTAAAATATTTTTTAAAGTTAAGCCCTGTCTAGACGATCAAATGTTATTTGACAAAACATGGGACATGCCTAAATATGGCTATGATGACATCACATGACCATATTTGGGCATCCAATTTGCGTACGAAGCAGTTTACACACCTGACTGCTAGCCAGCTGCCCTAGTAGATGTCCCCATTTGGCTGCCAATGAACTTGTGTAGTGCAATTTTCAGTCAATCCATCCACGAAAGTCAAAATTTCAAATTTAGTTTAAATATTGTTTTGAATCATATGGATATTATTGTATTTCTATAGCTAATTGATAAAATTAAAAAAATACATTTTAATCCTTAAATAATTAAAATGACAAATGTGAGTCCACATTTGAAATAATTTATTTTAATATTGCATGTTTTAGTTTATAATGGTCAATGTGTTTATCTCGTTTTTATATATTCTTTATATATATATATATATATATATATATATATATGTATATACTGTTCTACTGTTCCGTTTTAATTTTAAATAGTTTTACATTATGAGGCCGTTTGCTGTATTATGGGTTTTCCCATTTGCCTTTTAAAATTTATATATTATTAAAGAATCTCTATTGAGATCCAGCGGCCGCCACTGATGCACGGTAGAGATTGCA